AATTGATAATGATTTTGAAAATACGGAAGCAATCAGTGTTACTTTTTTCTATTTTCTAAAGCATATTTCTAAATTTGGATACCTGGAATGGACGATAATTTTTGTTAAAGTGTAGATTTTTGTTTTTCTTTTTTTTTAAGGGACATGGATCTCTCTCATCTCTCAGCAGATATATTTTACTCACAAATACTCAAAATACATCTCCCATATTTCCTCATTATTATGTTCTCATTGTAACTAATCCACATATGACAAGAAAAAAAGAATAAACCATGACCATTTTTTCTCATATTTTAATTGAAGGTGTGAAAGCCTCAGGTACGATTTGAGATTTTGTTTTTGATTTTAACACGTGAATGCGCATGTCCACTAGCTTCTATGTGTGTCAGCTGTTGTGCGTACAAAAGAATTAATTTAGACAATAGCAGCATTATATCTCACGTGAAACGTAGCAATGACATGAGTAGTAATATTTCTGTGTAACATATTAATGGAATATATATATAAACCGATAATCATTTAACATATATATATATATATATATATATATATATATATATATATATATATATATATATATATATATATATATATATATATATATATATATATATGTATGTATGTATGTATGTATGTATACATACATGCATATATACATATACGTAAATATACATACAAGCATATTATATGTATATATATATATATATATATATATATATATATATATATATATATATATATATATATATATATATATATATATATATTTGTGTGTGTGTGTGTCTATTTATATATATATTTAAGTACATATATACATATATATATATGCATTATATATATATATATATATATATATATATATATATATATATATATATATATATATATATATATATATATATATATATATATATATAAATCCAGCATCATAAATTCCCAGCATTATAAACAACAGTGTTATCCTCTTCAGTGTCTATTAATGTAAATGTCCAGGCTATATTCTACTCAGGAGCAACTACAAACAATAACAAGAAAGTAAAGAATGTGTTTATCCAGAGTCATTATAACCACGGGTACGGTTCGTGCAATGTTACATTCCGTTGCTGTGATCATCCAGCCAGTTCGAACGAATAAAAGTAATGAAATCATCTCGAGTTTTTTTTTATTTTTTATTTCCTTTTCTTTAATTGATATATGTATTTATGTATTTGTAAAGCGAGGATTTGCAAAGATAAACAAGAGGAGACATGGAGAAAGAAAGAAAAAAAAAAGTGACAGACAATTATAAAGAAAGATGAACACGAAGGAACACAAACAGAGAAAGTGATCTCTATAACTCACAGTCTCCTGCCTTTTCTTTCAGTTTCGAATGGTCCCGTTTTCTTCTTCTCCTTCTTCTTCCTCTTCTTCTTCTTCTTTAATTACTGTATCAGAATCATGTCGTTTCATGACCACCACTGCCTACACACTCAGAGGCTACGCGACCTCGCCTAATCTTTTGTATTAAAAAGGCCTCCCCTGATGCTGAGGTTACATAAGCCATACGTTCAGTGCCTTATTTCCTGTGTGTGTGTGTAATTACTAATACTTAGACTAAGTGGGAGGGAGGGAGGGAAGGAGAGAGAGAGAGAGAGAAACGAGAGGTAGGGAGAGAGAGAGAAAGGAAATGTAGGGAGAAAGAGGAGAGGTAGGGAGAGAGAGAAAGGAAATGTAGGGAGAGAGAGAGAAAGGAGAGGTAGGGAGAAAGAGAGAAAGGAATTGTAGGGAGAAAGAGAGAAAGAGGAGAGGTAGGGAGAGAGAGAAAGGAAATGTAGGGAGAAAGAGAGAATGGAGACGTAGGGAGAGAGAGAAAGGAAATGTAGGGAGAGAGAGAGAAAGGAGAGGTAGGGAGAGAGAGAGAAAGAAGGGGTAGGGAGAGAGAGAAAAGAAATGTAGGGAGAAAGAGAGAAAGGAGAGGTAGGGAGAAAGAGAGAAAGAGGAGACGTAGGGAGAGAGAGAAAGGAAATGTAGGGAGAAAGAGAAAAAGGAGAAGTAAAGAGAGAGAGAGAGAAAGGAGAAGTAGGGAGAGAGAGAGGAATGGACTGGTTAGAGTTTACAGGCCAACGGTTCCATTAATCAAAACAATTGTAAATGAATAGATGGATGAATGGTGTTTAGACGCGTCCTTCGCAGATGAGATGAGACTGCATACTGTTATACTATCCCCATTAGAGAAATTAAAGTTAGAGTGTATATGAAGATTAATTAGGAGATATGATTAAATGAAGATTAATTATGATTATAGTTAATTGCCGACGTTACTAATATCGTTAACATCGTTTTTCGTCGATTTTTATATACAATTTATGGTGATAAAAGCGAGTGGAAGTGCATTTATGAGAGGGAGAGCGAGAGAGAGAGAGAGAGAGAGAGAGAGGGAGAGACAGAGAGTGAGGGTCAAGAAAGTTAGTGTTTGGCAATCAGCCGTGGTGTGAGGGAGTTCTAGCCATGTAAGGATGAT